AAACTCCTAATTTATCCCTCCCCTCCTTCCCCTTTGGTAACCATGTTTGTTTTCTATGTCTATAAGTCTGTTTCTGCTTTGTAAATAATTTCATTTGTATTGTATTTTAGATTCCACATATAAGTGATATCTTATGATGTTTTCCTCTGTCTGACTTACTTCACTTATGATAATCTCTAAGTCCTTCCATGTTGATGCAAATGGCATTATTGCATTCTTTTTATTGCTGAGTAGTATCCCATTATGTATATGTACCACATCTTCTTTATCCATTCATCTATCGATGGATACTTAGGTTGCTTCCATGCCTTGGCTATTGTAAATAGTGCTGCAGTGAACACTGGGGTGCATGTATCTTTTTGAATTATGGCTTTCTCCAGATATATGCCCAAGAATGGTATTGCTGGATCATATGGTAGTTCTATTTTTAGTTTTTTATGGAACCTCCATACTGTTCTCCATAGTGGCTGTATCAATTTACATTCCCACCAACAGTGTAGGAGGGTTCCCTTCTCTCCACACCCTCTCCAGCATTTATTATTTGTAAACTTTTTAACGATGGCCATTCTGACCTTTGTGAGGTGATACTTCACTGTGGTTTTCATTTGCATTTCTCTAATAGTGATGTTGAGCATCTTTTCATGGGCCTGTTGGTCATCTGTATGTCTTCTTTGGAGAAATGTCTTTTAGGTCTTCTGCCCCATTTTTTGATTGCGTTGTTTGTTTTAGTGATTAAATTTATTTATTTATTTACAGCTGCATTGGGTCTTTGTTGCTGCTCACGGGCTTTCTCTAGTTATGGCAGCTGCATTGGGTCTTTGTTGCTGCTCCCGGGCTTTCTCTAGTTACAGCCTGTGGGCTTCTCATTGCAGTGGTTTCTCTTGTTGCAGAGCACAGGCTCTAGGCACTAGAGCTTCGGTAGGCTTCAGGCTTCGGTAGTTGCAGCACATGGGCTCAGCAGTTATGGCACATGGACCCTAGAGCATGTGGGCTTCAGCAGTTGCGGCATGTGTGCTCAGTAGTTGTGGTGCGTGGGCTTCAGTAGTTGTGGCACACGGGCTTAGCTGCTCCGCGGCATGTAGGATCTTCCTGGACCAGGATCGAACCTGTGTCCCCTGCATTGGCAGGCAGATTCTTAACCACTGTGCCACCAGGGAAGTCCCTGTTTGGTTTTTTTTTACGTTGAGCTGTATGAGCTCTTTGTATAGATTGGAAATTAGTCCCTTGTCAGTCACATCATTTGCAATTATTTCCTCCCAGTCCGTCAGTTGTCTTTTTTATGTTTTCCTTTGCTGTGCAAAAAGCTTATGTTTGATTAGGTCCCATTTGTTTATTTTTGATTTCTATTGCCTTCGGATACTGACCTAAGAAAACATTGCTACAATTTATGTCAGAGAATGTTTTGCCAATGTTGTCATCTAGTGTCAAGTCTTATATTTGAGTCTTTAAACCATTTTGACTTTACTTTTGTGTAGGAGTGAGGGAGTATTTTAACTTCGATTGACATACAGCTGTCCAGCTTTCCCAAACACTGATTGCTGAAGAGACAATCTTTTCTCCATTATATATTCTTGCCCACTTTGTCTTAGATTAGGTGACCATAGGTGTGTGATTTTATTTCTGGGCTCTCTAATCTTTCCATTGATCCATATGTCTGTTTCTGTGCCAACATCATGCTCTTTTGATTACTGTAGCTTTGTAGTATGTCTGAAGTTTGGAGGGTTATGCATCCAGCTTTGTTCTTTTTCCTCAGGATTGCTTTGGCAATCCTGGGTCTTTTATGGGTCCATACAATGGAATTTTAGGGTTATTTTACAAATTTTAGGGTTATTCTAGTTTTGTGAAAAATGTCATGGGTAATTTGATAAGGATCACATTAAGTTTGTAGATTGCTTTGGGTAGCATGGCCGTTTTAACATTAATTCTTCCAATCCAAGAGCATGAGATATTCTTGCCATTTCTTTAAATGACCTAAAATTTCCTTTATCAGTGTTTTATAGTTCTCAGCATATATGTCTTTCACCTCCTTGGTCAGGTTTGTTCTAAAGTTTTTTATTTTCTTGATGCAATTTTGAGATTTAAAAAAAAATTTTCCCTGACATTTCATCATTAGTGTAAAAAAAAGGCAACAGATTTCTGTATGTTATTCTTGTATCCAGCTACTTTGCTGAATTTATCAGTTTTAGTAGTTTTTGTGTGGAGTGTAGAATTTTCTACATAGTGTATCATTTCATCTGCATATAATGACAATTTTACCTCTTCCCTTCCTATTTGGATACCTTTCATTTCTTTTCCTTGTCTGATTGCTATAGCTAGGACTTCCAATACTATGCTGAAAAGTGGTGAGACTGGGCATCCTTGTCTTGTTCCAGATTTTAGTGGGATGGCTTTCAGCTTTTCACTGTGTGTATTATGCTGGCTGTGGGTTTGTCATAAATACGTTTTATGATGTTGAGATATGTTCCCTCTCTACCCACTTTGATAAGTTTTTAACATGAATGGATGTTGAATTTTATCGAACGCTTTTCTTACATCTATTGATATCATCACATGGTTTTTATCTTTTCTTTTGTTGATGTTTTCTTTTGTATCACATTGATTGACTTGTGTATGTTGAACCATTCCTTACGACCCTGGGATGAATCCAACTTGACTGTGGTTTAAGATTTTTTTTTTTTTTTTTTTGCGGTACGTAAGCCACTCACTGTTGTGGCCTCTCCCGTTGCGGAGCACAGGCTCTGGATGCGCAGGCCCAGCGGCCACGACTCGTGCCCAGCTGCTCCGTGGCATGTGGGATCTTCCCTTATCAGGGCATGAACCCATATCCCCTGCATTGGCAGGTGGACACTCAACCACTGCACCACCAGGGAAGCCCTATAGTGTCCTTTCTTTATCTTTCTTTGTAGCCTTTGTTTTAAAGTCTATTTTGTCTGATATGATTCTTGCTACCACTGCTTTCATTTCCATTTGCATGAAGTATCTTTTTCCATCCCCTCTCTTTCAGTTTGTGTGTGTCCTTTGACGGCAGCATATTGTATGCTCTTCTTTTATCATCTAATCTGCCACACTGTCTTTTGCTTGGAGCATTTACTCTATTGACATTTAAGGTAGTTATTTATAGACATGAATTTATTGCCATTTTAAACCTAGTTTTCCAGTTGATTTTGTATTTCTTCTTTCTTCCTTTTTGTTTTTCCTTTTGTGGTTTGATGGCTTTTTTTTATATTATGCCTGAGTTCTCTCCTTTTTGGTTTTTGTGAATCTACTGTATGTTTTTGATCTGTGGTTACCCAGCTTTTCACGTATGCTAACCCATTACTATATCTACTTGCTTTAGACTTGTAATCATATAGGATCAAACACATTCTAAAAAATACCCCAAAAAACTACATTGTCTTACTCCCCTTCCCCATATTTTACGATTTTTCTGTCCTCTTTACATTTTTGTTTATCCTTTTGCTATTCATTGTATTTTCACTTTCACAAGTTTTGATTTTTAAAAAAATCTATGTACTGTCTTAAGTAATTTACAATTGTGATTTCTTTCCTGTAGATTTTTGCTTCTTTTCTATTTAGAGAAGACCTTTCAATATTTCTTTCAGGATAAGTTTAGTATTGCTTTATTTTTTAAAATTTGTCTGAGAAATTCTTTCTCTCTCCTATTCTAAATTATAATCTTGCTGAGTAGAGTATCCTAGATGGCAGGTTTTTCCTTTTCAGGACTTTGAATGTATCTTGAGACTCCCTTCTGACTTGCAATGTTTCTGTAGAGAAACTAGCTGATAGCCTTAAGGTGGTTCCCTTTTAACTAGCTCTTTTTCTCTTGCTGCCTTTAGAATCTTCTTTAACTTTTGCCATTTTAATTATATGTCTTGGTGTAGGTCTGTTTGGGTTCATCTTGTTTGAGACCCTCTGTGCTTCCTGTACCTGGATCTCTCTTTAACTGTGAGAGGTTTTCAGCTAATTTCTTCAAATACATTTTCCATTCCTGTTTCTCTTCCTTCTCCTTCTGGCATGCCAATTATGTGTAGATTGGCCGACTTTATATTATCCCATAGACCTCATATATTGCTTTCATTTTTTTTCATTTGCTGTTCTGATTGATTTCCATTATTATATCTTCTAGATCACGTATTAATTCTTCTGCATTATTTAGTTTGCTATTAATTGCCTTTAGCTCAGCTTTCATCTTGGCAAATGAGTTTTCTAATTTTAATGGGCTCCTCTTTATAGTTTCTAGTTCTAGTGCATTTCTATTGATAGCCTTTAATTTCTTCAGTATTTTTATTACCTCCTTTTTAAATTCAGGATCTGGTAGACTGGAGAGGTCTGTTTCATTATTATTTCTTTCAGGGGCTTTCTCTTGTTCTTTTATTGGGACTGGCTCCTCTGCTTCTTCATTTTACTTATATTTCTCTGTGAATTTAGGAGAAACTTACTTATGTACTGTGAAGGGTTGTTTTTATGTGGGAGCATCCCTGTGTAGCCTGTATGAGTCTAATATTTTTGGAGGGCTGTTTTCAGTATGGATGCCTGCCACATTTTTCCTCAGTATGTGCTGGCCGTTATCCCCTTGATAGAGGGTGTGATTGGTGGTGTGGTGACCAGAGCCCTGAAAGTTTCAAACTTCTGTTTATTCCTAGTGATTAATGATTAATAGGAACTGAAGAGAGGATAAGGGGTCTAGTCTAGGCTAGAGGATTTTAATGAGCAAATTCCAAGATAAAAAGGAAAAACCTAGATTAATGTAGCATGTGAGAAGTGTTTTGAAGTATATATGGAAGATACCATCATCAGAGGTTTCTGTATCAGATAAAAGCAACTGTCATTGTCACTTTATTCTAGGCAAGGCAAATGACCAGCTCTGCCTTTTCAAAGCTACTGACATTGTGAAAAACCATGAATAAATCTAGTTTCAAGTTCAGCATATGCTCTTCTTCAAAGATGCAAATTATTTTAAAATACAACATTGATTAACAGAAGCAGCAACTGAAGCAAAATACAATAAATATGTGGGAATTTATTTTGCTAAGCCACAAAGTATTTTTCCATGAATAGCATCAATTTAACAGCTTCCTTAGTATTTACCAGAAGGGATTTAGAATTGTTTCACTAAACATTAATTTTTCACATTAAGTCAGACATTATAATTATGTATTTAAATTTAAAAATTTAAAGGAAGTATTTATATGACATTTTCTGGGTATGGTACTACATTAAACTCTTGAGAATATGGTATAGCTTGTTTTAAATCTTTCTTTTCAAATCATCCTTCCTTTAAACCAGTGCTGTCCAAAACAAAGATAATGTGGGCCCCTCAGATGCAATTTTTAATCTTTAAAAAAAAAATGAAAAAAGCTGATTTAATTGTAACATTTTATTTACCCCACTGTACCAAAATATTATAATCTCACCAATATACAAAATTGAGATATTTTACATGTTTTGTACATCTTCAAATCTGATGTGTATTTTATACTGATACCTCATCTCTATTTGGACTAGCTACATTTTGAGGGCTAAATACCCACATGAACCTAATGATAAGGAAAGATACTGGCCTGCACATTTCCACTGTCTGGCACATGTGCTTGTAGACAAACATTGTGAATGACTGCCACTCTCCAAATTCTATATTCCATCATTGCAGATTGGATCTACTACTTTGGGAACCCATACATTAACAAACATTAAACAATGTAAGACCAGTACTATGTCTGATACTAGATAAATGGCAATGAAAATGGCTGCCATGGATCACAACTAACAGTGAGTAGACAATCTTCTTTTTCTCTGTAGCACTTACCACAATTAGTAATTTTCTGTATTTCTTACTTATATTGTGTATGTGCATCTGTTTTTCCTATGACATTCCATGAGGGAAGGAATTATTTCTACCTTGTTTGCCATTATACCCCTGGACCTCAGTAGAATGTGTTTTACACACAGATCATCAAATACCTGTTACCTGAACGAACACAACCTTGCACTGATTTTCAGGCTCAACCAGCTTGTCATTTCATTCTTCACTGTTTTCCAATAGTTAAGACATATTCCACATTTTCTCAGTGAAAGCAGTGAATAGCTGTTTTCTCTTCATAATAATTTCTAGTAGCTTAACTCAAATATTAAAAGTAGGGAAGTTCCCCACTAGTCAGAATCACATTTTTCCTGTCTTCAGCAGACTCTCCTCCTCTCCAACACACAACAAAAGCAGAATGGTTGAGGCACAGATGAACGAGTGTCAGAAAACAGCCTCTCCATCAACCTCTTAGACTGAGAGAGAAAGGAAAACAACATACATGCACCTAGAAGAAAAGAATAGTGAATATTGTTTCCTACCACACAGTCAGTAGTGGCAAGGTTCTTAAGAGCTCTGGAAACTTCAGAAACTCCTTTGGCAAACCATTCTAAGTTAAACAGTAGAAATACTGTAGTAGCCATGATAAAAGAAATCCTAAAACTGGTAATTTAAACAAAGCAAAATAGCATGTCATGTAATATCATGACTAAATGTGAAACCTGTAACAACAAAAAACCCCTAAAGCCCAAGCTCAAAACTCATTCTGTATGATATGAAATAACACTATATTTTAAAAGTCCTTTTGCAGACTGTAGAAATCATTTTATTTAGAATGTATACACTGGAAGAATGAAGGAGTTGAGATTGAGGGCAGCTTACCTTTCTATTCTGTCTATAGTAAAATAGCACTTTAATAACACTGGCATTTCCCAAATTTATCTGTTTTGTAATTTTAGCACCAAAAACTCAACTCCTCATCAAATGTTCCCTGTTTTGCAAAGTTCTGGAATACAAAACATTTCATAGTTCAAACTTTAGTCATCTCTTTTGTGTAAATCAATTTTTAAAAAACCAAATCATGTTTAAAATGCACTAAAGAAAATTACTTTTCCCTTTTCTTTTTTGGTGCATGTTCCAAAAGTGGTGCAAATTCAGCCTCCTCACTGTGCTTTCTTTTCTTTTTTTTCTTTTTATGGTCACTTTGGTAACCACTGGAGTCACTGCCTTGGAAAACAGGGTCCTGGTGCTTTTTCTTCTTCTTTGGCTCTTCCTTCCAGAGGCCATTCACATTGTTACTAATCTGCAGATCTGTCTCTTCCTTCATGGTAACATCTGCAAAATCTGCTAGCTCTGTGATACCACTTTCCACTTCATATGGCTCTGGGTCTTTCTTCTTTTTCTTTTTCTTCTTTTGAGGTTTTTCAGTAGCTTCTTCAGTGCCAGTTTCTGTTACTTCTTCAGAAACTGCAGAGCACTTGGTTTGTAAACTATAAATTAGTTTAAAAAATTTATAGAACATTAAGCAAAAATGAAAGAACAAAATAAGATCAAGAATATTCCCCACATGCTAAGATTTTTCTAAATGATGACAGTAGTACAAGATACCATACCTAGGACACAAATTTCAAATATTCTATCCTGTTATCTCCCAGCACAGTGACATGTCTTAGAAATGTTAAATTTTTTGTTTCCCAAGTACTTTTCCTAGACCGTTTCATATAAAAATGACATAAACTTTTGTCAAAAACATGGCTTCTAAACATCACCATACCCAGCCTTACCAGCCAAACCAGTGACATTTGATAGAAAAAAAAGAAAAAAGAAAAAAACTTCTCCTATCTATCAAAGTATTGGAGTTCCCCATCTACTACCTCAATCCTTGTTTCAAGTAATAGTTCATTGTTCTTCTTAACCTATGCTGAAGCAGTATGACTTCAAAGTTGTGAATATTTTATAAAAACAAGGATCAATGAAGTAGCCCTCTCTCTATAGAACTGCTGTCCCATAGAGTAGCACTAGCCACCTATCTATTTAAATTTAAGAAATTTCAATAAGATAACTTAAAAAATTCACTTCCTCAGTCACACTAGTCACATTGCAGATGCTCAAGAGTGAGGCTTGAGCAACAAGCTATATTGCACAAATATAGCACATTTCTGTCATCACAGAAAGTTCTTTTGGACAGCTGCTCTAAAACTTTAACCCCATACTCTTGTTACTTATCAAGGCCAAATCTAGAAAAAGTTGCTAACACAGGATGCGAAGAGTTCCCCCCCCCCACCCCATTAAACTTGGCTCCCATGAACCCAGGCTCAGGATCAAAGTAATTCTTACAAGAATTCCAAACAAGAAAAATACAGAAATTAAATGATCTACCTGGTATAATGACAATAATAAAATCATTATTTTTGTTTCAACTGTGTAAAAACAAAAGGGTAATAGTTATGCAATATGATTAAGCTTCTAGTAGTCTCAAGTTCAGGGATCAACTTTTAAAAAGATTACCAACAAACTAGACAATAAAAAATTGAATTAATAAAATACAGACCAGTTAGATGCAGAGCTTCAGAATATTCAATGCACTGTCAGAGCACTTATGATTCATATTTACATTGACTTTATGGTTTGAAAGTACAAATATTCCAGTAAAAAAAATTAACTTTTTAAAAGCAGGATTTATGTTCCCTAAATTCAGAATTAATAGAAACGATTAAGTATCAAAATGATAATAATGTGATTAGGAACTGACCTAGTGATATTCAGTTTTCCCCGAATGCAGAATACTCCAGCAGCATCTGAGTCTAAACGAAATACTTCAAATTCTAGTTCATCACCCATGTTTATCTCCAGAGTCTGCCACTGCTCGGCTGGCATCTGCTCAGGTTTAGGAATGGAGGCATTGAAGCACCCGTGTACTAAACAGCCAATGTGGCTGGAAGACACTTTATTAACTGTACCCTGGGAAGAAGGAAAAAATATTACATCAAGAAGAGAGCCAAAGAGTTAAAAGGTGAAACAAACTTTACAGTCTTCAAAGTGATCTTCAAATAGAAAATGTCAAAATAATGGTATAATTCAATATCGAAAAGTTGATCCTCATTTAAAACTTACCACATATTACACTAAAATACCACTTTAGGAACACTGTAGAGTTTTTAGAAAGCTCACCTTGAGCATGGCTATTTTAACTAAACCATAACATTACTAGAAGCTTTAAAACTAAATAATAATAAAATAACAATACTATATGATTTTAAGGTTAAAATGAAAATTTCCAAGAAACTTAGTTTTCTATTCCCCTAGGAATCAACATCTATTAAGTATATGAATGAAAACCCGAAGCATTTTTTAAAAAATCACATATTTTGAATTATAAAACTGTAAGAAATATTAACACATATGCAGTGTTGTTTAATGGCAGTACCTCCTTCCACATGTGACAGAATAAAACTTACTTGTCTCCTTATAAGGAGTCTGGAGTCCAGAATGGTACCTTCTGGATGGTCTGAAGGATCTGTGCTACATCTATACATTAGAATATTATTCAGTAATAAAGAGAAGCTACCAAGCCAAGAAAAAGACATGGAGGAACCTTAAACACATTTGTATGTGAAAGAAGCCAATCTGAAAAGGTTACATACTCTGTGATTCCGCTCTATGACATTCCGGAAAAGGCAAAACTATAGAGACAGTGTAAAAAAAAAAAAAAGTAGTTGCCATGGTTTCCGAGGGAGGGAGCAATGAATAGGTAGAGCAGAGAGGATTTTTAGAGTGACCAGTTATTCCATAGGATACTGTAATGTTGGATACGTGTCATTATACCTTTGTCAAAACTCAAAGAATGTACAATACAAAGAGTGAACTCTACTGTAAACTATAGACTTTAATAATGTATCAATATTGGCTCAATAATTGTAACAAATGTACCACATCTGTATGTATGTCAGTAATAACTGAAATAGTATGTTTATGTGAGGTTTTTTTTTGGGGGGAGGGGTGTGGAAGGAGGTGATGTATATGAGAATGCTATACTTTACATTCAATTTTTCTAAAACTGTTACAAAGTTTTCAATTAAAAAATACTCAATGAGCAAAGAAGTCTTTTCAATGTATGGGTTGAGAACACTGAATATGGGCAAGAGAATGGAGCTCAAGGACCTATGAAGTCCTACACACAAGAAAACAAGATTGATCACAGACCTACACAGAAAAGCTAAAACTACAAAAATTCTAGAATCTTATAGAAGAATATCCTTGCAACTGAGGGGTAGCCAAGTTTCTTAGATAGGCTCTAGAAAGTATAATATGATAAATTAGACTGCATCAAAATTAAAAGCTTCTGCTTGTCAAATGGTACCATTAAAAGTTAATAAATAAGACACAGACTGGGAAAGAATACTCACAATACAGTTACCTGAAAAGGATGTGTACCAAAACTATGAAAAGAATATAAAACCCCAGTTAAAAAGGGATAAAGTACTTGAACAGGCCCTTCTTACCGAAACATATGAAAAAGAGCTCATGAGGGAAATACAAATTAAAACCGTAAGGAAAAACTACCATATGCCCACCAGTAAAATCAAAAGACAACACCAATTGTCGGCAAGAATGCAGAGCAACTGGAAGTATTGAAGGGGATATGAGTTCTCCATAAAGTTAAACACACGTTTACCCTGACCTAGCAATACTGCTTCAAGTTTCTACTTAGGAGAAATGAAAATACATGTTTACAATAGCTCTGTTCATAACAGGTCCAGACTGGAAACAACTCAAATGTCCATCAATGAGGATGGATAATCAAATTGATAATCAAAGTACATATATACTCATATAACTGAATACCATGAACGATTAGAAGACAAAATCCACCAATATACCCGACAGCATGGACATTACTCAAAAACATGACCAAAAGAGGCCAGACTGTGAGTGTATAACGAAAAATTCTGCTAATAAGGAATTACAGAACAAGTGAAACTAATTTATGATAATGAAATCAGAATAGTGTTTGTATCTAGGATAAAGGGGATTGACCAGGACAGGGCAGGAGAGTCACTTCTAAGGAGAGAAAAGGTATATGCACTTGTCAGAATTCACTGAGCTGCACAGGATGATCTATTGCATTTTACTGTATGTAAATTAAACCTGATACATTATATTGTATGTAAACTATATCTCATATTATTAAATGGAAAAAAATGGTCAAATGTATTTGAGGACTGGATCTTATTGTAGGGGACACAGTAAAAGGGATAATTTAACTTCATTTCACTTTCTGTACAATTAGAATGTTATTTCCATGCACATATTTACATTTATGATAACTTACAAAAAGCAGATGACAGTTTAATTTGGGAATTTTAAAGTAGAAATCTACCACCAACTTTAATAGTATGGAGGTTATAGGATCCCAGTTTGGAGGGCAAGGGTACTATTTCTAGCAGTTCAAATGACATTGAAAAACATTTTTAAATTAGAAAGGCCTTGTAATTTTGTTATAGTGAAATCTGACCTACATTTTAATTAACAGTATCAAGGGCCAGTTAACAGTTCTCATGGACTAAACAATTCCTATAGACATTTAGTTAAAGGAAAAAATACATATATATACAAGTTCATATGAACACAGAGAACTGCTGGTGGGAAAGGAGCAAGTGATGTGGATAAATGTACACATTTTAGTAGATTTCACATCAACTTCTGCATTTTCACCTTCTCTTAAAAAACAAAAAACTGAAAGACCTTCCCCACAGGGCCTTCATTTCCACAGCACAGTATGGATGCCCTGACCCCTATCATTCATTTACATTACCTGCCTGGTCCCACAGCTATTTGGATTTGCAACTCCAGTTCTATATATTGCTATACCATCTGAATCCTATATAAACAAACTATACTTGTATATATTTGAGAAGTTATAAAATAATAATAAAAAAATTTTAACCCTTTAAAATCATTCTGATGGTATACAGAGAATAAATTGGATGGGGCATATACTCTGTACATGCACATCAGTTTTAGTATCATGGAGTTTAAAAACTTGCCTAGACTGCCACTGAACAGAAAAAAGAATGAAAATAAATGACATTGTTTAAGACACCTCTAGGACAATATCAAGTGCAGTAAGATTCACATGATAGGGGACACAGAAGGTTAAGAGAGAAAGGGCCTGAGAAAATATCTGAAGAGATAATAGCTGAAAACTGCCCTAACCTGGGAAAGGAAAGAGGCACTCAAGTCCAGGAAATGCAGAGTCCCATACAGGATGAACTCAAAGAACAGGCGAAGACACACTGAAAAGCAATAGATAACCTACAAGGTAACTCCCATAAGGTTACCTGCTAATATTTCAGCAGAAACTCCACAAGCCAGAAGAGAGTAGCAAGGTTATTTAAAGTGATGAAAGGGAAAAACCTACAACCAAGAATAAATACCCAGCAAGGGTCTCATAAGATTTGATGGAGAAATTAAAACCTTCACAGATAAGCAACAGCTAAAAGAATTAAGCACCACAACACGAGATTTACACAATAAATGTTAAAGGAACTTCTCTAGGCAAAAAAGAAAATGCCACAACTAGAAACAAGGAAATTATGAAATGCAAAAACTCACCAGTAAAAGCAAACATAGTAAAGGTAGGAAATCACCCACATGCAAAGCTAGTAGGAAGGGGAAAACATTAAAGTGGTAAAAATCACCTACATCCACAATAAGCAATTAAGGGAAACACAAAACAATTAGATGTAAAATACGGTATCAAAAATAGTAATCATGAGGGGAGAAGAGTACAAATGTAGGGCACTTAAAATGCATTTGAAATTAAGAGGTTAACACCTTAAAAGCAATCACATATATATACGTATGTGTTTTATATATATATGTATGTTATATACATATATGTGTTTTATATATATATATATAGAGAGAGAGAGAGAGAGAGAGAGAGAGAGAGAGAGAGAGGGAGAGAGACTGCTCTACAAAAACCTCATGGTAACCACAAACCAAAAATCTATAATAGATATACACAAACAGAAGACAAAAGGAATCCAAACATAACACTAAAGCTAATCACCCACTCACAAGAGAATAAAATTTAAAAAGGGGAAAAAAAGACAGACCTACAAAAACAAGTCTAAAACAATTTTTAAAAACGGCTATAACAACATACATATTGGTAATTACCTTAAATGTAAATGGACTAAATGCTCCAACCAAAGTTCACAGACTGGCTGGAGGAGATCAAGATGGCAGAGGAGTATGATATGCAGCTCACCTTCTCCCACAAAAATAATAAAAATACATCTACTAGTGGAACGATTCATATAGAACATCTACTAAATGCCAAAAGAAGACCTCAGACTTCCGATCACAAGAAAACCTCCCTACAGCCACGTAGGATAAAAGGAAAATGAAAAAGAAGGAATCGCAATGGGTCCTGCACCCCAAAGAAGGAGCTGTGAAGGAGGAAAGGTTCCCACACCCTGGGAAGTCTCTTCACCAACAAGGAGATCAGAATGTATGGAGGGATAGCTTCATAGCCCAAGAGGAGAGAGCAGCAACTGGTGTGTGGAAGGCAAAATGGAGAATAACATGAACATGGAGAAGACCGGCACTGCCACACTGCATTCCCCAGCCTGAGACACTCCTCTGTTGGTGTGGGAGGGGGCTGGGTGCTGAAGCTCAGGCTTCAGAGGTCAGACCCAGGGAAAGGACTAGGCCCACCACGAGTTTCTTTCCCTGTGAGTGCTCCCAGACAACAGGACACCGCTATAGGAGCTCCAGCGGTGTGCTGAGTCACTGCCACCACAGCAGGCTCCTGAGGCTGGCATGGACTGCTGCTAAAAGACCCACAAGCAGGCGCCAGGCCCTGCCCTGTCCCAGTCCAGGAGTGCATGGAGAGCAGCACCCATACGAGACCCTTCAAGCGGGCGTGAAGCTCTACCCCTGCTGTCCCGGGA